GCTCCCCACCCGCAGCTCCCTGTGCGCCGGAAGCCCTCCTTCTGGGAAACCCCGAGACCGGCGCTCCCCACCCGAGGCTACCCATGCACTGGGGGCCCACCCTCCGGGAGCCAGCAGGCAGGAAGCTAGCCCGGCATACAGATTTTTAAAGGGTAAAATGTCAGGTTAAAAAGCATAGCTTTTGTAAATTTTCTTTATGTTTCCAAGTCAACTTTATTTTACTTCATATAAACAACTGCATTTCTCAGATTACCTACACTTTCTCACTCTGTGAACACGCCTGGCCTGTGAGGCACTCAGCCCCTGCTGACAACACTCGCATAGTAATTGACATCTGCTTGATACGAGTGATCCTTGGCAAGATGATAACAGAGGTTTCTTACTAAAGAGAAGTCGCAGAGTCAGGCGTGGTGGCACATGTCCGTAATCCCAGCACTCAGGAGGCTGAGGCAGGAGGATCACCAAGAGTTTCAGGCCCACGTGGGCCACATAGTGAGTTCAAGGTCAGTCTGAGCTATATAGGGAGACCCTGTCTCAAAAAGAAAAAGAGGCAGAGTGTGATGTCACACACATGTACTCCCTGCTGTTTAGGAGGCTGAGGCAAGAGGACCACAGATAAATTGAAAGCCAGCCTGAGTGGCTGAGACCCTGCTCAATATTAAACAAATAAATAGGGGTGGGTTTACCCAAGTTGTCTCCAGTACTGAGGGGTGAAAAGGAATAACATCTCAGTTTCTGTTTTTAATTTAAATACAACTCACATCACATTCACAGTGAAATGTGTATTTCAGTGACTGATGCGTATTCACTGTGTTGTGCAACCATTGCCACCACTGGTTTCCAGCATAGTCCATCACACCGGAAAGAAAGCCACACTCACTCCCCTGACAAGCACTTTCCTCTCCCATGGGTTTTTCTGTTCTGAGCAGCTCATATCAGTGGAGTTACCCAGTACTGAATGTGGGTCTGGTTTCTCGCAGTTAGCTTAATATTTTCAAGGCTCCTACAAGACTTCATTCCTTTTATGGCTGGCTGTATGGATACATCAGTTTCTTTTTAAAATCCTGTATTCCTTTCCTAAGGTTAATATAAATGCATTATTTTAGAAGTAGAGGTTTAACTTTGGGCTCCTATCACATCAGTGTTAACTGTAGCTGATAGTTTTTGAGTGCTTGTCATATTTCAAACCCTGTTCTAACTCATTCCTTGTAGTAGCTCTATAAGATAGATACTGTTATCATTCTCATTTTTCTCACTGAGAAAACTAAGATACAAAGAAGTGAAATTACCAAAGTCAGAGTGTGTACGTGGCCAAGTCATAACTCAAACCCGGGCAGTCTGGCTCCAAAAGTTATCTTGAGGATAACTTTGCTTTTAAACTTGTACATAAGTTTTTCTTGTATGGCCCACTTCTCTTTTCATTCTTCAGTCTCTCCCTTCCTTCCTTTATCCTCTTGCTTCATTCCACAGAGGTTTTCTGATGAATTGATAACTGGTTTCCAGCTGGGTGTGGTGGCACAGGCCTGTTCAAGGCCAGCCTGGGCAAGATAGTGAGTTCAAGGCTGGCTTCAACTACATTGTGAGACCCTATCTAAACAAACAAAACATGGCGTATGGTGGCGCATGCTTGTAATCCCAGCACTCGGAAGGCTAAGGCAGGAATATCCTTGTGAGTTTTTTTTTTTTTTTTTTTTTTTTTTTTTTTTTTTTGGTTTTTCTCCGGTACCAGGAGCCGAGCTCACGACCTTGCGCTTGCCAGGCAGGCGCTTTTTGCCGCTGAGCTAAATCCCCAGCCCCTATCCTTGTGAGTTCAAGACCAGCCTGGGTTACAAGGTGAGCTCAAGGCCAGCCTGAACTGCATAGTGAGACCCTGTCTCAAAAAGACAAAAATAAATAAATAAATAAATATAAATGAACAAAACAAAACAAACAGGCAACCCAAAAAAACCCAAAAAACAAAAACAAAAACAAAAACCCCCAAACCTGGTTTCCAGGTTATTACGTGTTTAGGATAAGGAGTTCATTGCAGTCCCAGAAGTCCATTCACATAAAGAATGGACTGGTTCATGTTTCTAGAGTCCAGGGTGCAGCAAGCTTTACTGCAGTCACCGTCCTGGCCTCCACAGTGCTGTTAGGGCTCCGTCTTTCTCTCATTCAGTCCTTCCGTGAACTGGCTTTGTTCTGTAGACAGTTTCCGTCACACTGCCAGGGACTTTGGAGGTACAGCATTGAGCGTACCTTGTGGCACCTGACCTGCCAGGAGGGACGAGGTGGTCATCCTGAGAGCTTCAGTGGTAGAACACCAGGGAGTGGCCTGAGTTAGCGTGGCTGGGTCGCATGCCCGTTTCACAAGTTCAC